CATTCTACTGAACAATAGTAATATATTTCTGCCGCAATGCCTTCAAGTTAAACTGAACTTTTATTTTGATGGATTGCCGTGAATACCTTCACATTTCTGTGTGTATATGATATGAGGATAGTTTTACTCAAATAAAACGGTCAAATGCTCATGAAGTGACTCTCAGAGCAGTTCTGGAGATGTTGTTCATGTATTATGTCCTAATTTAGTGAGATGACAGACGCTAAAGTCACTGCAAGCGTCACGCACGCTTCAGTACAAGTAGTAAACAAAACATTCATTAACTCAGAGACACGCAGGGTTCATTTTTAAATAGTCGTTTTGCGGCTTAATATTTACAAATATTAGTGGGAGTGGGAGTGCGCGCACGTGTGTGTTTGTGTGTGTGTGTGTGTGCGCGCCCAACTCTGCTGTGTGTGATACAGAGAGTGCGACCATAACGTAGAGACCGAAATGACATGCCGCCTGTAAATAAGATAAATAACATAAGGCTATTTAGTTTGTTTAATAATAGAACACGGTATAGACCTGTTCTATCGGAAATATAACTTTAAATTACTTTTGTTGTGATCTGGCGCTATAGAGAAAATATAATTAAATAAAATTAACTTGACCTTCAAGGGGGACGGGGGGTGCCGTTACCAATATAATGGCAGGGGAAACACTGAGTGGCATAAAATGGTCTTAAAATGACAATAATATTGTTTATCGCAATTTTTTCTGGGGCAATATATCGGACAACAAAAAGTTGTTATCGTGCCAGGCCTAGTTCCATAAATTTTGCAGTTGATTTTCCTTGATGCAGTAATTATCAAGCAGTGAAACTGGGTGTTGAAGGCAATGATCAGATCCTTAATCCAGTTTCATTTTTGAGATTTCAAGAAGGTAGGTGTTTTGAAGAATCACCCATGTTGTTTCATGTTTTTCTTCGTCCTGCTATAATATTATGAAGATCCGCTGCACTGAAATATGACTGACAACCTTTGAAAAATGAGTAAATGTCAAAACGGTGTTACAATATTTTAACTGAATGTAAGGAGTTTTCTGACAAGAAAATGAGCAAATGGAAAACATTGTCACGGTTATGAACTTTTCTATTGTGTTACTTTCAGTTCCTGTTCTCTTGCCCCGTTTAGTTCTGAACAGCTCCTCATTAATTTCCTTGGTTACTTATTACTCGCAGGTGTTTCTGTTTCATAAGCCCCATTATTTATACTCCATGCTTTGTTCAGTTCCTTTGCCGGTTATTTGTTATACCTACATTTGTGTTTGTGCTACCCCTGCCTTGTTTGCTCTTGGCTTTATAATTAAAAGACTTTTGTGGAATTCTCTCCTTCGTCGTGTGCTCTTTACAGCACCAGCACGTTCCAAACATCTGATGTCTGGTAAAAGAGAGGAAGACAGTGGGTGTAGGCTGTTGAGAACCGAAAGCCTTGTGTTTGTAAAGGGTGTTTTTATTTTATTTTATTTAATATCATGTTGCTGTGTTCATCAGTCTTGCAGGTTTTTTATTGTACTGTCAGCTGTGTATGCTGAAGTCTGTGTTTATCCACGTGGGTGTTCTCGCACAACATCTGCTTGATTTTTTTTTTCTTTTCTGTATCAAATGCTGTCGCTTTTTCATTCATGGCTGTTTTGGATGTCACCCTTTGAGGAAGAAAGGCTGTGTGTTTGGTTTGTGTACAAATTATAAGTGTTAAATGAGGCTTTGTAGAAAATCTTATTGAGCAGGTTTATTGAGTGGGTCAAGGCGAGATTTGTTTATTCATGTCAGTTTGTTCATTGTTTATCTGAGGCTTTTTTAATCCAGTGTGCTTCATTCATTTACACATTAATGTAGATAGCTTACTGGAAAAACTGGAACAAACTGTAATGATGCACACATAATTAACATCTGAACACTTATTGTCAATGATTAATTGTATTAAATGGAAATGCGTTGTTTTAGGACTATTAAAACGAAAATGTAAAGTAGAGAGGCTCTAAAGATTAATGTTGGCTAATATATATAACTTGGCAAAACAGAATGAGCTGCGTTTGTTCATTGTTTATTTGAGGCTTTTTTAATCCAGTGTGCTTCATTCATTTACACATTAATGTAGATAGCTTACTGGAAAAACTGGAACAAACTGTAATGATGCACACATAATTAACATCTGAACACTTATTGTCAATGATTAATTGTATTAAATGGAAATGCGTTGTTTTAGGACTATTAAAACGAAAATGTAAAGTAGAGAGATTAAAGATTAATGTTGGCTAATATATATAACTTGGCAAAACAGAATGAGCTGTGTGTCCTGAATTTTAAGAATGTTTATATAACAGAATTGAATTTGCTCAAGTGACCCTTGTTTTCTAACTACTAAATGTTTTTAAAAATGTCTACCAAGATTCAGAACCCATGGACTCTTGTTGTTTAACAGTATCATGTTGAATTTAAACCGCCAAAGTTAAAATTAAACTTTTACACTTTTAAAATGCAAAAAGATATTTCAAGAAAGGAAGTGTTTCAGCGCTATTGATTTCCATCACAAATATATATATTTTTATTTACCTTTATTTAACCAGGAAATTAAAAACTCTTGAGATTTAAAATCTCATTTACAAGAGGGTCCTGGCCAAGATAGGCAGCACATTTAGTTACACATAAAACTAAATATATTCGTTTACATACACAGAAACATACACAAATCACTCAAAACATTTACAATCAGGTGACTCTACAAATAGATCCTTTAAAATACATTTAAAATCATTTAGTGATACCAACTATTTTAAGCATAACTTATCTTGTAGTGGATTCCAATCAAATGGAGCAGCATAACTAAATGCCTGTTGACCCATATTAGTACGAACTTTAGGGATGCTTAAAAGATAATAGTCTTGTGAGCGAAGACCATAATTCTTTACACCTTTTTTGTAAGATATTCTGCTGTAAATATGAAGGAAGTAAACCTAAAATGATTTAAATAAGTTCCAATGCTTAAGTCTACGGGATGACAACGCCGGCCGTCCAACCCGAGAGTACAATAAACAATGATGAGTAAGGGCTTTTGAATTTGTGATGAACCTTAATGCTCCATGATAAACTGAATCCAACACCTGTAAACAATGTTTAGGTGCCTGCATATGATATCACAATAATCCAACACTGACAAAAATGTAGCTGCTATGCTAAATATATATATCCTTATTTTAAAAAACACAATGATATGTAACAGGATAACTTCTAACAGCAACAACAAAAAAAGGAACAACTTGAGCTGATGAATGTGGTAGATCCTCCTACGAGCCAAAAATAAAACCGGTTTAGTGACATCAAAGGGTTTAAGGCCTGACCAAAAAAAAAGTAGAATAAAACAAGAATAAATATTGTGGAAAACTGTACTGCTGCTTACCCACAGGTAATTTCTCTAAGAGCAACACAGATCTGCTAAAAGGATGAAAGCTAATGGTTGGCTGGTCATCTGACATACGGCCTGTGGTTATTTGGCATAATTTCCAAGTTATGCTTATGGTTATGCTTTGTGTGTGTGTGTGTGTGTGTGTGTGTGTGTGAGTGATTTTTTTTTTCCCTCTAATCTGATCTAATATCCAAAGGTCTTCTAAACATAGTGTTGAGTCAGAGACTTTTAATCTCTCTGCTCTTTGTATTCTGCTGCATGCTCAATTACGCACACATACAAGTTACAGCTAGGCAGGTAGAAGTCATATTCTGCATTTCAGAACACTCAGGGTGTGTGTGGTGTAGTTATTACGTAACAAGTAATATGTCTATCCATATGTCCTAAGTCAATATAGTCAAAGCTGGACGTATTGACTTTTAAATAAAGTTTGTACAGCTCTACAATGAGCTACACTTTATGGACCTAACAATATATGAAAATAGAGCAAAGCATTGACAGTGACTGCCCTGTTGCTTCAGGAGGTATTTTTCCCATTCATGTTCCTATTTTTCCCAGCTTTGAATCAAACCGAACAGCTCTGAGATGAATTACAAAATTTCAAACTTTTAAAAAAAGTATATGACAATTGGACAAAAAAACCCTGTTATTTTATTAATCATATATTTTGACTCATCCCTTGAATCATTGTGAAGTATTGATTATAAGTATATTAATAAAGTGTATTTGTAAAATATTTAAATATATACAAAAGTTTGTGTCAATAAGATGTTAAAAAAGAAAATTAATAATTTTATTCAGCAAGGATACATCAAAAGTGACAGTAAAAGCTTTTAAAATGTAACAAAAGATTTCTATTTCAAATAAATGCTGCTCTTTTGAACTTTCTGTTCATCAAAGAATCCTGAAAAAAGTGTATCACAGTTTACACAATTTTAAGCAACACACTGTTTTCAACGTTGATATTAATAAGAAATATTGATCAATAAGAAATATTGGTAATACTTTAGGGACCAATTCTCACTCTTAGCTTGTTGCTTATTAGCATGCATATTACTAGCATATTGGGTGTTTGTTAGTACTTATAAACCAGATTTTAATGCCTTATTAAGGATGTATATAATTTTTAGATCCCTTAATCCTACACCATGCCTAAACTTAACAACTACTTTACTAACTATTAATAAGCAGCAAATTCAGAGTTTACTGAGGGAAAGGTCCTACTTAATAGTTAGTTAATAGTGAGAATTGGACCTTAAAATAAAGTGTGACCGAAATATTTCTTGAGCACCAAATCAGCATATTAGAATGACTTCTGAAAGATCGTGTGACACTGAAGACTGAAGTAATGACTGCTGAAAATTCAGTAAATTTTACGTTTATATGAAAATAGAAAAGTAATTTAAAATTTTTAAGAACAGTTTACACCAATACAGTTTTGCTGTATATGCTTGTGACACGCACACATGTCTGTGTAACTGTCAGAAAAAATGTGTTGTTTTCTAGGACTGCTAGGGCAAATAATTACTCACGTTTTCTGTAACGGCAAATCACGATCTGTTAGCTAACTTGTATGTGCTTTTCTTTCTTCAGGGCTGTACATTGGTGCACACACTAGATGCAGCATCCTTGAGACTACAAGAATTTGTCTGGTTTTGCCATTACTAAATTTTAACAACAGTGGAGGAGGAGGGGGTGAAAAATTGGACCTCCCAGCTACTCTCCTCCAATGTCCCAGAGACAGTATGACTGCTGTCAGAGCACTAAACTGCTGAGTGAAAACCCCTGAAAAGGCCTTCCTACTTTCTCTTACCCAGACATGAAGGAGGTGAGGCTGTGGACAGCGAGTGATGTCTCCGATTGGCTGACTGATGAAGGCATGCAGGAGTACATGGATGCATTGCGGAACGTGGATGGCCCTGCCCTCTTGAGACTCTCTGAGGAAGACTTTAAGGCCTCGCCTTTGTCCCTGGTCACGGGGGACAGTGGTCGACAACTTTTGGAGCGCATAGAGACTTTGCGCTTCACCAGCCACATGAAGGCGCTCAAGAACAACAACCACGAAAACAGTAACCAAGCCAACGGTCACACTGGCATCACCCTTGCCAACGACAGTGTTAGCAACAGCAAGATCCTCAACGGCAGTCCAAAGAATGGCTTGCACTCTAAGGCGGTTCGCATCTTGATTCCGTCGCTGCCTGAGCAGGAGCGCACGCCGTATCCCACGGAGTGGTTCAAAACAGGCGTGGCCTTCCTTTACGCTCTGTCCTGCTTCCTCACGACAACAGTTGTGATCTCAGTGGTGCACGAACGTGTCCCGCCCAAGGAAGAGTCTCCGCCCCTGCCAGATAAATTCTTTGATCTGTTCGATCGTGTGGAGTGGGCGTTTTCCATCTGTGAGATCAACGGCATGCTGCTTGTGGGACTGTGGTTTACGCAGTGGCTTCTGCTTAAACACAGGTCAGTTCCTTAATCATTTTTCAAGTGGTTTTAATCTATGGACACTCCTAGTTTCTGTACATTAAAAAAGAAACTGCAATATTTGTCAATACTGATTAAAGAGCTTGCATGACTTTAGAGCTTGGCATAACTAGAAATAAATATACACAATGATAATAATAAATGTATATATCTGGCTATGCCAATGTCTAAAATATTTTAGAAGATATTTTATATTTATTTATATATATATATATATATATATATATATATTATTCTAATTAACTGAACTGAGCAGTAAAGGGTCAGACTTAAAATATTTTTTATCCTATCAGTGAGAGAGGTAGGATAA